TTTTGGAAATCTTTTATTTTGACTGATGAAAACAAATTTTACTTGTTATGGCACCGGGCGAATAAAGTTGTAGAGCCTAAGCACACAATTCCCACCGTAAAACACGGAGGGGACTCTCTTGAAGGATTTTGGATAACATGCATTTATTTAGATCGAAACATTCTAAAAGATAATTTAAAATGTGGTGCAGAAAACGTAGGATAGGGATAAAATTTAAATTTTACCAAGATTAAGACCCAAAACACAAGTCTCAGATTGTTCGAGAATGGGTACTTTATAATTGACGATAAGTGATACAAACTCCTTCTCAGTCCCCGGATTTGAATGCTATAGAGAACTTATGGAATATTTTGGAGAAATATATTAGAAGCCATACCATCTCAGGCATATGAAGTCTGAAAAATGCTTTACAAGTAGAATGGGGAAAAATTCAGACATCTTACACGAAAAACTTGGCAAAATCTATGCCGGCAAGGTCACAATTTACAAATTGTGATATTATACTAAGTATTAACCATCCAAAAAATCCGCAAATTTAAAATACCTAAAAGCGTTTCGGGGATTTATATTTGGGCTTATTTGTATGGCATACAGAAGATTTGTATCCTCCGATAAAATTCCAGACACCTTTCGCACACCGAAAAACATGGACCTACATAGAATATTAGGTTGGGGGGAAAATAAATCCATTATTTTTATATGAACTATAGGAGTTTATTTAACATGCTTCGGAATGTCCGATTTGTGCCAAATATACACCGTTTTGTTATATGATTTGTGGCCATTTTAAGGGTAACTTCATAATGCCTCTCTCATAGAAGTCCTGCTCTCTATTTGCAAAAACCTCTAGTAGTCAATTTTCACAATTCTCCCCAGGTACCAATTTTTTAGCATTAAAACATTTTTCCAATGTCATCAAAAAGATAATAATCGCTTGGCGCCAAGTCCGGACTGTATGACGGATGTATTAAAACTTTCAAACCAAGCTCCCCAAGAAGTTTCTGGCGAGTCACTGTAGATGTGTGTGGTCCTGGTGGAACAGTAGATATCAGAATTTAGCGTTTGGCCATTTGGAAGCAACTCATAATAAATAATCCCCTTCCAGTCCCACCAAATGCATAGCCCGTTAGTCCTTTTTTGTCCATTGTTTGAGGTACTTCACCGCTCTTTAACCACGATCGTTTTCGCACAGAGATATCGTATGTTATCCATTTTTCATCTCCAGTCACCACCCGTTTAAGAAATGGGTCCTTCTCATTCCGTTTGGCCATGGCTTCGCAGATGGATATTCGATCCATCCTATTTATACTCTACACAACTATGTTGTCAGGGTATTATAGCTTTGTGCAGCCCCAAAAGCATGCCTGTTTTGATAAAGTTCGGTCAATATTTAGCGGGTCAAATGGACCCTGACTTTTGTGTGAAAAATGACAAAATTTGTATTCTATAGAGTATATATTTACCCCTGAAGGACATAGGCCTGAGAAGTTGATATTATATCCAAGAGGAGTGACTGGCCTTTAAATTGATACCAATTATATTGTTGTATGTGCTCGAATGTGGGAGTTACACATAATATATTTACCGGTATCTCCGTATTTTTATATTATTTAGTAACTCTACAGAGCGGAACTACAGATCGCTTTGAAATGTTCCATGAGTGTCCAGTTATGGTCAAGGACAACGCCTATAATTTTCGGTGATGATTAGATTATAATTTTGGAATGATGTGGACAGAAAAATTAATTTTATTTTTATTGTTATTTTCGAGTCGATCTATAGACCACAAATGAAAGCCGAACATCACAAAACAACCCACTGTGAAGTGAATCTGGACAATAGATGTACTGAATACTCGTAATATTCGGAAAATATGTCAGTGTGAGGAAGGGTGATGTTTACCTCTAATCGGACAAGAGGTAAACAGCCAAGGCTCGGAACAAACATCCGCATCCGTGGTAGTTGTGTAGGGTATCGTATGGTCGGCCCCGTCCGACTATACTACTCCGCTCACTGGTTTTTTCTGTTAATTGGTGTGGCACTCAAACACCGAGCTTCTATTTCAATCCAGCTTTGTGTAAATGGTTTAAAACAGCTTTTATGGTCGAGTTTTAGCTCCTGGGCGATGTTACGACTAACATGCCGGTCAACTTCGGTCATTTCTCCGATTTCACCGACATTTTCGACGAAAAAATAATAATCGATTTCTCTTTTCCCCAATCTAATATTTTCTACAAAGAAGTCTTATAGCCTATGAAAAAACCCGAAAGTCCAAATTATAGCCACTTTGCTTGAAAAATGCGCTTACGGCCATGGACAATAAATTTGAGTCAAATTAAAAATTAAAACTTATTTTCACTTGAGGACCGGGTAAAGGTTAGGCTTCAAATAATTTTGTATGCGATCAACACCATAAAATATTCCATTTTAAAGTAATACAAGTCCATATTTTAAAATTCAATGTAAAGCAAATAATCAAAATTTAAATGAAAAAATTCATAGGCGTTTTGGTATAATTATGAACCTAATGTGTAACCTCAATTAAAATTCTTGACAAAATAATGAAAACAATGCATTCCAGTGACAATGGAAGAAATGGGCGGATTAGATAGAAAGAAGACGCCGGCTAAAATTCTTTTCTTCAAAATTTCTTGACAATCTCACCAGTATTCATTGTTTGTTTTTTAACAAAAAATTGTTACCTCAACCACAACAATAATAGCTCCAATCAAGCGGTTTGTAATCACCACATCACAGGAATTTTGATGCCTATTTCCCTTGATGCCTTGCTCGCTCGCTCGTTCGCCCTTCCCCCTCATAAATATGACTTTAATTGATCGTAAATTTCAATTCAAGATCAAGTTCACAATGGCTAAAGCGCACCTCTCTTGCACACACACACACACGAACACACTTGTTGCTGTCGACAACCACCACCTTAGCGACAAGTCTGGATGGAACCCATCAAAAGGAGTGTCAATCCGTCTGTTGTGTTGGCTAAACATTTATTGATATTTATGGGATTTTAATGATCTGAATTTTTTCCTTTGATTTGTTTGTGTGTTCGGAGGTCGTATCTCATAATCTATGGGAGAGATTGTTTACAAATATCCCCGGCGAACTATTATCATGATGATGAGACGATGACGAAAAGAGTCGGAATTCCTCCTCCTCCAACTGGTGTTGTTGGCTCACTCATTTCATTCACTTGTCACGAATGTGTGTTACACGACCATTTCATTGTCAAGAGGATCGAGGCGAGGTTCTGCCAGCCTCCCTCCTCATTATTTGTCCACAATTAAATATCAATAAAGAACACCCGTTATTTTATGGCTGATCGTAAAGTGATTGTTTTTTTTCCGATTGTTTGCTTTCGATCAATCAATGATTTTTATTATCCCCGAAAAAAAACGAAAAATAATTCCAAGGCGTGGAGGGAATTGTCACGGCAGAGTGTAACCACATTACATGACATTTACAATGAAAACAACGACATGAATAAAAAAACGACAACTCCTTTTGTATTTGAAGAGCATAAAAGTTGCTGCTTTGTAATGCCCAGAATGGTAGAAGTGTTCTTTTTTCGTTCTCGTCATTGTTATTGTTGTTGTTATTGTAAGAAAACAAAAGTGTCCTTTGTTTGCAAACAAGTTGACAGACTGTCGTCATAATACGTTCTATTGTAACCCTTTTCTATGATTTGTGTTGTTTGGTTGGTTGTTTTATTGTTCAAGAGAAAGTATAAAAAATGTATTATTAAATTTATTGTAATGTATTTCTAGAAAATCCATGAAACATTATACATTTGCTTCGTTTTCAGCAGTTTTTTCGGAAACGTCTAGGTGGTCTCCGTAGAAAATGTCTCAGGTCTCAAGAACAGGATATGCCAGTAGTAACATCCTTCATGTGCATTTAAGTATTTGTCATTTATTAATTTATTACGTTGATTTATCTTTTATTTCCATTACATACAGTAAGTCACAGTCAAAAGTACGCACTTGATTTTTATACCCTTCACCACACTGTGATACGGGGTATTATGTCTTTGTGCATATGTTTGTAACATGCAAAAGGTATCGAGATAGACACATGGTTCCTTTTGAGAATATGCATAGAATCACTTTCTAAGTCGATATATGCATGTCCGTCCGTCCGTCTGTATGTCTTTCCATGTTAAATGGTACAAAGTATGATACCAATTGGATGAAAGTTGGCACAGTTCATCTACTTGGCCCAAGGACGAACCCAATTGAAATTGGGAAAAATCGTACCAAAGTCCCAATATATCTTTCGATTTGCACGAAATTTGGCACAGCGTACTTAATTGAATCTAGAATAATGTGTGTAAAGTTTCCACCCCGCGAAATTTTTTTAAATAAGTTTAGTTTTGAAACAGAAAAATTTTAATTCTACTAGAATTACCCAAATTTCTACATACACAAGAGGAAAGTAACAACATTTTAGACGAAATCATAATAAAACTGGTAGAGAATAAGTCAAAGAAGAGTGTAAATTGTGGATAAACTAAATGAGGACTCAGGACTTTATATCGAGCATGAAAGATGTTTCAAAACGTTTAGAATTTAAAGAACAAAGTTATAAAGTTAATGTGGCCATTCAGATAATTTTATTGTGTAAAATGTGAGAAATCGCCTTGAGGGGAAGTAATATTATTATGAACACGATGGGTTGAGGAGCATGATTGTGTACAAATATTTAACGAATCTATAGAAGAAATAGGGGAAATGGTAAGATTTAATTTTGATTTATTTCTAAGAAGTTGAAGTTTCAGTGCCAAGAAGGGGGGTACGCAAAAGTAGAGGTCAAATGTAATGAGTTGGAACTCCGAGTATTTTTATAGAACTACATTATTTGTCCCATGTTTGGAAAAACCAATTGTAAATATGATAAGCAGATTTCTGGAAAATGAAAAAAAAAAATAGTTAAACCATTATCAAGAATGATAATATTTTTATGTTAATATTTGTAACAACCGTGTTCAAGAAAAACGAAATGAAATCGCTGTGTTGACCATTAAGTGGCGTTGCCGGTATGCTGTCGTTTAGCGCGGCTATGGCTCGTCGGATTGGGGGTTGGTTCTTGCCACTTGCAGATCTTTTCGGTTGAACAAACAAAAAAAATCATACCGGACTTCAAACTAAATCAAAAAGGGGGTAAAAAGAAGCCTGAAACATGTCAACAAAAAAATTTAAATAGAAGAAAACGTTCACCTAACTGCAACCAAATCCCAAAATAACATTAGTTTTCTTCACAGAAACAGTGCTCCTGGCGGCTGACCAGCCAGGAGATAGCCCTCCCTCCGAGAACACCTCTCGCCATGACGTCTACTCATACTGGACGTCCCAGATCTGACCCTTGACTTACCATATTTTATCCCATCCCCACCACCTTTTTAATAGGGCTTTAAGCCGAAGACATTTTTATCTTTTCAGGTTTAATCCAGTACATATTTATTAAAACTATATTACATATTTGGCAAAAAAAAAAACAATTCATTCCATCGTAATTTGAATCAAAATCTAACAATTTACAGCGAATTATAATATAAAAATTTCAAAAAAAAAAAACAAAGAATTGCCAATAAAAATCAATTCTTTTCTTTTTGTACTTTTAGGGCTTAACGGCGGGCACCCAGAGTGTAGAACCTTGACGGCAGCTTGTGACTAAGGCTTTTTCCCAAAACGTAAGTATGTACGAATTAGTTCGTGTTTCAGCTTTTTAATTATATTCCTCGGTCAGAATGTAAATAATAATTTTCCTGCTTTCAATTCCAGATGAGGACGAACAAAGGAATGTAGGTCGATACCACATTAAATCGACGATCTAAACAATGCCTGGTAACCTAACCTTGAATTGAGCTCAGTTCAATGTCGCGTACCTGCATACCAACACAAAGTAAGTAAAAAATTTAATATTAACTCGTTTGTTCACCCTTTTAATTTATTTATTCTTTTCAGGAAAAACCGCGGAATTTAATTATGTAGCTTAGTCGTCCGTCTGTCTGTCCGGAGTTAAATAAGTTTCAGTGTCAATTGGGAATGATACCAAGCCACGCTGGAGCAGCAATGGCGTAAACTCTGCGCCTCCCTCGATGGATTGGATGGGCGATGGTGTGGCTTGTAGGCTCCAATTCTTCATGAATGTTTAGGTTTAAGATTTATATTCATTGCTTTAGAATTTTAGTCAATTGTTTGGGTTTTTTTTCAATATTGTTAAATTGTTTTCAAACTTTGTTTAATTTTAAAAAAAGGTTCAATTTTCTTTTAATTTTCAATTTTTTGAAAACTATTTGTTTTGTTATAAATTTCCTTTCAATTTTTAGCCTTTCTTTTCGTTTAATGTTGCTTAATTATTTAAAGGCTTCAGATTTTCTTTAAAATAGTTTGTATTTTGTGTTGTTTGTGTATGTGTTTCAACAAATAAACCAGATGAATTCACTTCTCAAAAACTTTGGTTGTTTTTTTTTTCGACGGTTACAGGGAGCCACGCATCCAATCTTCTTCGCAGGCAAAATCAAAAAGGAACGAAATTTTTCCATTTAATCAGGAAGAAAGGCTCCTGTCATCATATTTTTTTTTTGTTTATAATTTATTCCAATTCTCTCAGTCGTGTTTTGTTTGACATTATTCACAAACATATGGTTTGACTATTGTGAATGATCGTAAATATGCATGCTTCTTCTTATTTTCAATAGCAAACTGAGGCGCACCCCACAAAGCCAACTATCCTGCTGATATCCTTATCAAAGGATAGGAGGAAAAAAGTGCGACAAAGATATAAAAAAAATAATTCAAAAATTTCATCTTGGGTGTTTTTAAAAGTATCGGTATTCGAAATCCCTATTTTGTTGTGATCTGGCAACCCTAAATATTAATTCTGAACAAAAATTAATTATTTAAAACATCGTGTTTTATTTGCCACATGTAAACGGTTAACCTCATATATGGTTTTACAATGTGTAAACCGAGTGTAAGAATGACGTCATACGCCAAGCGTTACGGTTTAGTGCGGCGCAATATAACATATGGGCAACTGACGTTTATGAATGAAAGCGTTGGGGACGCTTAAATGGCAACATTATTTGGCGGCTTGGATCGTGGACGGACGGAAAAATGGAGAATGCAGTAATTATTAAATAAAATGGTAAGTAGAGTGAAAAAAATTAAAGTGAATATTAAAATAATTAAATATGTGAATACGTGAAAGTGTCGGGTTATTGCAATAAGTGAGTGTAGTGATTGTGAAAAGTGTAGAAAATTAATGAATGAAAAATCCTATTGGAAACATACAGTGCGGGTGTATGTGAAAATACTACAAGTGCAAATAATGAATGAAATACAAAATAACAAATAATTCTAAGAAAAATTATGATTAAATTGTAAAGAACAATAAATAATTGAATAATACAAATTATAAACTCTAAAATAAAATGAAATTAAACAATCCAGTGTGTGTGAGTGTATGGGTGCATATAGTGTAAAAGTAAAATGAAAAATTGCACTTCTTCAAAAACTTGAGTTTGGCGGAAACCTAGTGTTCGAAAACTTAGAAGGTTTTCGAAAAATATGAGTGATAATAAAGTACTAAACTTTGAGTGATAATTATGAAAGAGAATGATAATGAGCAAAAAGAATCAAAATGAAATTGGAAACTGCGGAATCAAAACAAAAAGTGAAAATAAATGAATGGAAATGAATGAAAAAAAAATACTAAGCAAAACAAAAAAAGAAAAAAAAATTAATAAAAATTAATTTAAAATGAACCAAGACAAAATAAAGAGGAAAACAATAAAAATAAATATTTTTGTGTTAAAGGGACAAAAAGGTATTGCAAATATGTTCCTTGTGTTTCTTTTTTCTGGAAATAAATAATACTTTGCTAAAATGTGTAATATATAATTGGTGACGGTGCAAAACTTTCCTGTACTTTGAAAACAGAGTGAAAACATTACTAACCAAAATTTTTTTAAATATGAAGTTATTTCAAAGCAAGGGTTTCAAATATTGACTGAAAAGAAAAATAACTTTGTGTGGTTGAAACAAACCAAAAGAAATAATGAATAAAAATTAAAATTTAAATTCGGCAATTTTTTTTTTTACCATACTTGCTCTAAATTATATTTTGATTTTAACTTAAAGTTTCCTCTTTTTCACAGATAACTAATACTTTCTCTTTCTGTTCTTATCTTTTCAGATTGGTGACTGCCAACGTTTGGATTGAACGAAAGGTAAGATTGAGACCTGATATTTTCTTTCTCTGTAGGGGTACCCTCAACTAGGTCCACACTTTGGTCAGATTGTTGGATACGATATTATTTCAAATGCATTTCGATGTGTTTGATCGTGTCTCCCCGCTTCCAGACTCTAACGTCGTAAATCGATGACTGACAGCTCTGCGACCTTGTGTACAACACTCTTCTGCCTTGTGCCATAGTTGCGTATGGGAATATAAAGGAAGAGTGCACAAATGGTCAAGGACAGTCACAACGTGACTGCTCAGGAATCGTAGACATATTGTTAGAGTCGGTAAATCTGGGATGCTTCCGTTCGTAATCCAACGAATTCTTTCTGACCGCTGCTGTTGGTGTCTAGGCGAGTGGCCTCCTATGGTTGCAAGAAAAAAATTTTCCATGGTCTCAATAATCAAAAGACATCTAGAGAAGTTACTCAAATTGGATATTGCATTCACAAAAAGGTAAGTAAAAATAGAAATGCTAATAATTTAATAAGAAAAATAGTAATAACTTCCTTTTTTATCTTTCCAGACATTTATTACCTACATGCGACTTAATTTGCCTCTCCTGTGAAACCAGGAAATTATATTTGATGGTAAGTTCGATTAATCCTGTTCTCCTTTTTCTTTCTCCAGCAGGTGTACCATCGACTAGACCTTCAGCTTTTGTC